TATTACTTTATTAAAAGATTGCGGATGCGCCAGCGGAGCCGTGGCAGCCATTTACCTGATTTGTTGTTTCATACTTAATCCAATATATGGTTCAGTTGTTTGTTACGGATTACCATGTTTTATAGAACCTTGAAATATTGCGTCCTTAAGGAAACACTACAGGCAGCAGCGGTGGCCGCAGTAGTAGACTCTTCGGTCTCCTGATCAGCCGCCTTGCGCTGTGCGGGTTCGAGTCCCGTCCCAGGAGAAATTTTTCTCTTGGCTATGGATGTTGTGATTGTCCGTAGGTGGTAGATGGTCTCTGACTGTCGAACGCGGAGGTACCACCCGGCGGATCTCGTAGGCGGAGCCAGAATGTGTGCATGTTGCATGCACACGTGTTCCCTCGCCAGAGTGCGTGTGGCGTCCCCCCTTTCCCCTGTATCCCCCTATAGCCCCACGGTACCCAATGGGTGTTTAGGCCTTAGGCCTTCGTGGTAGTTGGAGTATAAAAAAAAACACCCTTGAGAAGTAAACGGCAATGCATAGGTGCATAGTGAGGATTTGTGTGCTAATAATATGCTTCGATGACAATTTCACTGGATTCTTGTCTCAAATACACTTACTTGAGATTCAAAGTTAGAAATTAGTGGCGCATTCACTTTTTCTTGTCCATTCTAGAAATTACTTAGGCAAATTTGCTGAACTTCAAAAATGAGAGAGATAAGAAATAATTATATTCACTGTATACTGTCGAATTACAAATCATACATGCTAACAGTAATTACACACAACGCGGGCGCGGTTATGATTTTCCGTAATTATCTTCAATGTTTTTGAAAACACAAAAAAAGCGTAACGTAAAAAATCGTAATTCATAACTTTGAACATAACCTGTCTCAGAAAGGACAAAATATAAATAACCCGTCGGACACAGCTAATAGATATACTTAATTGGCAGCATATTCAGTAATGATTTTCTCACACAGCAAATATAACTGATTTGATACACATGCAGATCAATACGCATAATCATCCAGATGCGATCTTGCCATTCAATCCACTTCCTTCTCAAAGATGAAAACTACAGACTACTCAGCTTCACAAAACACATGCAACCAATAATGCGTGTAGTTCAGCCATTCCTCCATAGATGGACCGTCACAACGATCCTAGTGAGCAAACATGGAATGACTGTTTGCACCCTAAACACTACCTAGTCTGCAAGATGACGCGGTCGCTAGCTACATCTCTCTCTCTCTATCTCTCTCAAAGATCAAAGGTGTACAATAACAATACCCCGTAAAATCCTTTTGTTAATAGATATTTAAAGAATAATTACGGATATCTGCAACATTAAACTTTTCGTTTTTCCAAACTGCTTATATTTCCAAAGCTTCCTACTTTAGAGACAAATTCTGAAGCACCCCTTTAGTTCAGACTGACTTGAAAACACTTTGACCGGAGTGAAAAAAAAATGATTTGTATTTTGGGCCTGGCAACATGCAGATTCGTTAATTATGCAAAAAATCCGAATCAGAATATTTTTCAACGAAAATACTACCTGGACTAAACTACTTTATCATTATTTATCATTACGGTCATACTAAAGTCGTGTGTGCCACAGATAGATCAAGGAAATATTATAACTGAGATTATACAGGTATGTTGAATAAAAATCAACAAAAGGACCTCATCCATACTCACTCTCGTCTAAAAAAATGATAATTTATTCATTATAACCTCCACTCTCTCGACCTATCTGTATAACTTCACTTGTCTTGCACACAGCGTGGTGTCGATACATGATGTAATGCACAAACATTTTCCTATTGTCTAGATTTCCACACATATATCCAATTTCTGAGGGTTACCACCTTTATTTTGTAGAGCTGGAAAATTTAGACAAAGGTATGACAGCTGTAAAAGCAGGATGGCTTTTACGCTCTGGACGTTTCTTCTTCACTTCATTTTATTTCCCTGGTAAGTATTGGAATCTCGGAGAGACCGACAGACTGACCGACGGAAACCTGTGACACAGTGATACCCCAAATTTTCGAAAATGAGGTATTATGTTTTGTGAATGTTATACCCGAGGAAAACGAAAAAAACACAATAAACATGTCGCTCAATTCCGATGGTCTGTCTGACGGTCTGTCCGCTAATCTTATAACCGGCTATAACTTGAGAAGTACCGCTCGGATTTCGTTTAAACTTTTATGCAATGTTGCTACTATGCCAAGGACGTAAAAGCTGTGTAGTTTCTGGAAATTCATCGTGTGGCGGCGGAGAAAAATAAAAAACGCTCAATTTTTGTTTTTGACGTTCCAGACGACCTTGATCGTTTTCGGTAAAAGAAAAGTGGGGCTGCAGGGGGTGGAGGATGATATAGCTCAATTTTTTGACGTTGGCATATTTTATACGACTCCAGCTCCCCTAATTCTATGCACATATTAGGCATATTTCACTCATAGATGTGCCGTACATTCACCCTTAAACTCTTAAACCCTACAGTCGGGTGTCGATACGTGCGACGTGGTCCCCAGGATGGACAAGCGTTGTCGTAGGTGGCCGTACGCTACAGTCGGTAATCGCTTCGACACTACTATGGGCTTCGTCAGCTATGCATGGTGAAGACAATATCGTCCTTCGCGCGGGATTGGTCATCGCAACAACCATGTGCACCAGCAGTTCCTCTCAAGCGGGGAGGAAGGTCATCTAATTTTTTATTATACACGTTCGTGGCTAATTTTTTTCCTAGGGCTAATTTGTGCCAAATATAATCCTATACGGACCTACGACAGCATAGCGTGGGAAGTATAGAGTCAACTTACTTGATGCCAATCTCTAGACTGAAAGGGAATGAACCTGTCGGGACTCGAACTAATGATCTTACTTATTTGCGGACGCTTTATGTTTTAAGTCAAGCGGATGAAAAAAAACACCACTTAGTATTGGACGTTTTATTATAAATTGCGGTCTATGTCAACAACATACATGTGTACAAAAAGTTGCTTACAACAGGTTGATGTTTTAATATATTTTACTAAAATGTGACATTTTTTATTAGAAAACTAAAATGCTCAATAGCGCAATAAATCGACAAATCACAAAGTAATTTACTTACTATAATTAATATTTTACATAGCCTTACTAATTATGAGTACTCAATCATCGTTTTAATTATAATCTTAGGGACTAACGAAGGGATAAGATAAACAGCGATGCATATCTGACAGCTATAATTTACAAAATTATGTTAGTGTGTAACAAAATCGTATGGGATTTGGACTTGCAAGGCCGTTTTTCAATAGAAATATTTCCTTGCTTTCTAACCCTTCAGGAAGATGTAATTTCGTTCGTCAAAATTTCAGATATATTCAAACTTGAAGCCCAGGCCGTGCTGATCAGTGCCAGCAAGAATAAAATAATAGGTGGGTTGGTAAAGTAATCAATAGAAGTTCCAAAAAGTCACGAACTGATCACAAGTGATTTTGGGGACCGATTAAATTTGCTGAAAGGCCATGCTGTTAATTCTTTATCTCTCATAAGGATCGCATGTGTCCAAAGCTCTAAAGATCCATCATCAGGTTACTCGTCCTTAAAACCGGTCAAGCCTAAATGACTAGATTTGATCCATTAATAGAGGCACGACAGCTTGACACAAATACGCTCAGTTCCATTCGGACAAGGTAGAGGGAGCAAGTAAACGATTTGTTTGTAACGAAAATTACGTAGTCAATAGTTAGCATGCAAGTTCATACTACAAGTCGATCAAGCTCAAGCCGCCAGTTCTTGACGTTTCACATTAAATTCGTAATTTTCTGTAAAAAGGTGGATTTCCATAAAATCCTGGTGTTCCACACAATTGCTGAAAATGGTGAAGGTTTCTGTGAATTGCAAATATTAGTTCAAACTGAATACGAGCAAATCTGTTTATCGATAAGTCAACATTCAGCTTTTACCTGGACAGTTGTGACGTAATTTTTATTAACCTAATTTCATTACTTAAAAAATACATTGAAAAATTTTGGAGACAGAACACAGTTTTTGATAAATACCGAAAAGTTAATAACAAACTTAAATCTAACTAAACTGAACTAAAATTTAACTTTATCCACTTTAGTTTTGTACCTGAAAGTTCTTGGGAAAGGTCCTTTCGTGTTATAGGTAAGTAGTCGTTTTACGATCTCATTTTAGTGTCACCACATTCTATGAAGGAAGCTTACTACACCCAAAAGAAACTATGACTATCAAATTAATCAAAATACCTCCAAATCTTTTTGTTGGATAATGATACATGATACATGACAGAGTATCCAAGATAAGGACCCTATTCATGGGGATCTCAATATCTGTGGGAGATACAGCTTAGATTAAGTTAGGAAAAAGTTGCATTTCTTGGCTCGTATTTACGTTGAGAAACTAACAGATATTTAGGAAAAACTAAAATTTGGCCACCTTTTTTCTGACTTTATTTTGAGAAATATCAAAAAATTAATGAAACTTTTCTATTGGCACTTTTTGAGCACTACATGATGTATTTGAATTTTGTCCCCGACGGTTCGTTTTTGAGAAACCATTATCAAATTAATTTTCTGGCCCGAAAAAAGTACACCCTGTATCTAGCAGTATTTTTTCATACAAATTCAACGATATATCAGATGTTACATATATTGTATTGCTTATAAAGATAAATACGTTTTTTCTGTTTTTTTTTAAGTAGGCGTTGCAAAGAAATGCTTGACTTGACGTGAATACCTGTCACGGAATATTGTTATCATCGTGTACTGTTGATATTGCTTTATTATCGTCAAGGCTGCCAGGCGGTCATTTTACCAATGAAGAAAAGTTGAACATGCTGACGTACTACATTTTGTGATACAAAAATACTGCAGAAATGTATATTGATAGATTTTTCGAAAGAAGTCAGCCTAGTAAGTCCATTCTTCAGACAATTTTAAAATTATGTCAAAAAGATTTAATTGGAACTAGAATTATTAACGTATTTGAACCAGCCCGTTAGGTGACAAAGACTGGACAAGACGGCAAAATTTCAGAAAATTTGACTGCTTTCCAAAACCCTACCGTGGGCGTGATCATCCTTTGCAGTTGTAAGGTCAGCTAAAATATAAAAAGAAATAGTACAATAATTATTTTGTACTTTCGTAAAGGACGATCCAGAATTCAGGCAAAGTTCGGATTAAATAAGAAACACAGTTTTTCTTTCATAGTCGTAAATTCTTTCTTTCTCTATCGAATTATACACAGAGGTACACAAGATATGGTTATATAATATATAGTACGTAGGTCTTTTCAAGGTTGTTGGCGGGTGACAGTAAAATGATCCATTTCCTTTACAAACACATGTAGAATGGGACTACATGCGCAGACGTTTGTATAATTTCATAGTTTTTTAGGTTTGTCTTACCGCTTTTAAAATTTGTTCGTTAGCTTATGCTTGTCACTGTCACTAAGACAACTTGCTTGTCATAGGCGTAGGATTTAAGTTTATCTTTTGTTGATCTTCGATATAAAACATGGTGGAAACGACAGTCCTCTATCACCTCATGCATGTGTGTGCAAGACCGAGTAGCAGCTGCATTAAATATCGGCTTGAGCAGGTGCAATTTCCCTTAGCTAAATCTAGTTCTGCACATGATTCAGTTCGATGTCACTTACTATGTCGTACGACGTAATCCCCAAAAACCGTGAAAGGGTCTATAGACAAATGGCATATTCGGCGCTTCTGACACATACGTGCTCTTGTGTCGAAATTTTTCGTGACCATTTTGAATAGGTCTGGCTGAATTCGATTGAAGCAGCGTTGAACTACCTTTTCCAATGTCGGTTATGTATGAGCTTATTATCGCTGACTAGCCACATTTATGCCAAATGTCATGGAAAATTTCGATAAAAGTGCGTATATGCCATAGAATCTAAAAAGATCATCTACTTATGCATACATACATACATAACTCTAACTTGTGTACCTTTTGATAAAATAAAAAATAACAATCTAAAAAATAAAAATTGAATTTTTAATATAATTCAGTTTTTGCGCGAATTTTAGGACTGCCTATATGAAAGCCTTGCAAGGAATGATATTTCATGAGATAAGAATACAAATTACTAGAATGACTCAAATTGTGACAATTTGTGTTTTTGAAGAATACGTTTCCAAATACTTTTGAGACGTATCTTATTCATACAGCAGCGACATGATATCACAAACATACCTAAATAGATACACCCAGGATAACAATTTCATAACACATTTATTAGACGGAATACAGTGCATTAAGTTCGATGTTTGATATAAGATATTGAACAGTTCGTGTAAAAAGTGATGGAAGTAGGTTTATTCCTGGAGTTTAGGTAATCATAAATATCAATTACGTAAGCTTTAACATTCGAATTTCTTTACATTATAAATCTAACATTAACGCTTGCGTATGCGGTATTTAAAATTCCCAAAAAGTTTTCATAAATATCAGTCAAATTTTAAAAAATTTGGCACAAGTTCTTTGAAGGGACACGTCAAATACATATTTTGTGGTTTTTACTCAAAAAATATGCTACTACATAAAACTCTATTGTATGTAAAACCATCCACTGCTACTATATTTCTAAAATAAAAACTTCTAATATAATACATACATCGTTTGTGACAGTACCTGCAAAATGGACTAATTTGAATCTGTACGAATGTATATGGAAGTATAAAACATTCGCAGTTCAATATGAGTATGTTAGCCGGAAAATAATTTTTTCTCAGTCATATAAATGTTGCTAACTATAAATCAACTGCTTAAAATTATATCTATAGTCTATGACAAACTGAGTTCAAATTAACAGAGATATTAAGTCCATAAAATCTCCAAATGTACCAGCCCGACCCTGCATTCACATCATCCTACGATATTTTGTGGAACGATATGAGTCGCCGCGCGGTGTGTATGTTAACCTAGCTCATCGGAGTTGAGAAACCGGTATTGGCACCTCCAATAGCAAGAACGAAGTTATCGATTTGATGTTACTTATTGTTGATTCTACTGATATTTCAAGGTGAATTCAGATCGTTCAGATGTTTCCGACCCGAGCTAGGTCCGTTTGTTTACATCGTGCAAATACTGTCAAGGTGGATACAGTACGAGTTCTAGATATCCCCAAATATTGCACATTCAGGAAGAAGTCAGTAAAGTAATTTTTTTGCGGGTAACTTCTTTAATCGAACTGAGAATATTTTGATCTGATCTTCAGATTTTTTTCTAACAGACAAAAGAATTAACATTAAATTAGCACCAGATATGCAGTTGTATAATGCTTGTCGAAAAGGCGGCACCACTCTTCTTTTGAACGAATCAAGCTCGCAAACTAAAATTTGGGGGTTGTAAAATTGCTTCCTAACTGATAAAATGTCAAAAGAGATTTGTTATACAGATTCTCTAATTCTAGAACGTTTTTCTTATTTATTCATTGCCATCAGGACATTTAAACAATCCATGCAGCCAATCTCAATATGAATAATAATAGTAACAACAGTATCAAAGAGTATCAAATATATTTGCCATACAAATTACCTATTATTTTTGAGAATGTTATTTAAACAGATGCTTCGTTTCGGTTATTTTTGTTTATCTCTTTTACAATGCGTTGGTTCCTAAAAAATTAAAAGAATATATTTATAATGAATTAATCTACAATTTATGTAGGATAATTTTTTTCATAGAGTGACCATAAAAAAGTTATAGGGTAGGAACGTTAAAATAATTGTTGTTGCCCATTTTTTATTGCTTTGTCGATTGTCGAGAGTGACTCTTTTGTGAAAAATTTCTTTATGTTTTTGGAAATCGACTGAATTTTGAACAACCTAAAACTAAAATCAACTAGATAGATCAATAGGAGCGTGTCGGAGCCGTTATAGACAGATCTCGCCAGTACCCGAACTACTTATCCAAGAAGAGTTTATAGCTGTGTTTTTATTTAGGTATGAAGAAGCCCTAACATTTACTATCTTAAGGAATGGCTTTCTGGCAGACTGTCAGAGATGAGCATTTTTGTACACTGAATCTCTTATAACTCAACAACAATATTAATTATTCCTTGGAAGGATCTATACGTATATGTAATATATACCTATTGTAATTATGTTCTTTTCGAAATCAGTCATGTTTGCTGATTTAATCTACCGAATTTATTTTAAGACAATGTATCTGTGTTTGGGGGCCAGACAGATTGGGAATATGATTCGATTTATTTTTCATTCTTTCTAGAAAACGTTTTGCGTTTTTTATGAGGGCTAGAGTTGTCTAAAAATGTTATCATTTGTTTAATGCTATTTGCATACCTACTAGGTTTTAAATATTATTAAAAATATTATATTTTTCCGATATATATTTTGCCTAGTTACCGAGCTCCCACCTGATAATATGAGTTTAAGTTGTATGCGTACAAAGTGTCCTAATCCTTATCAAGGTGTAGTCGCGCTAAGTTATTAGTGAAGCAGGTATTTTGTAGAGTGACATTGAGGTACGATCATTCTGTGATTCTGAGAAGATATGAAAACAGTCCAACAGAGTCCAATACTTCATAGTCGTACTTTCCTGACAAGCTTTCTCGTCGCGCTTTCCTTATGGGCTTTCACGTGTTTTTTCTGGACTATGTTTCTTGTCATGTTTTCTGGACAAGATTTTCTGCCGAGCTTACTCGTCGTTCTTTTTCGATGACCTTCCTGGTGTTTTTTTTCGATGAGCTTTCTCGTCGTTTTAACATTTTTTATTCCTTGGGGACGAATTTTCTCATCGAGCTTTCCTAACCAGCTTTTTGGTCGAGCTTTCTCGTCTTTATTTCCAGACGAACTTCCTTGTCGTTCTTTTCCGAAAAGCTGTCTCGTCGTTCTTTCCCAAAGACCTTCCCTGTGCTATCAGACCGCGCTTTCCAGCTGAGCTTTTTCCACGATTTTCCTCGTCGTTCTTTTCAGACGATCTCTTTTATCGGTTCTTCTAGACAAGCTTTCTGGGTGAGTTATCCCTCTGAGCTTCTCTGATGAGCTACCTCGTTGTTCTTTCCTGAAGATCTTCCTCGTTGTTCTTTGCTTTTTTGACTAGTTTTTTCTGGACGATTTTTCTGGAAGGGCTTTTCTGATGAGCTTTCTTTTCAATAAGCTTCCTCGTCGATTTTTCCTTACGATCTTTATCATCATTCTTTATTGACAAATTTTCTCACCGTGCTTTCCTGACTACCTATCTAGTCGAGCTTTCTCGTCCTTATTTCCTGACGGGTTAGTGTCACTCAATATGACGACCCTTGAGCCCGTTTATGTTATATATTTCATTCCTCAGTTGGTCATTTGTTCCCAGGATAAACTTTCATATACACGCACATCACATCGAGTAGTGCGCGTCGTGAAGCTAATCACAGTGTCGCTGTGCTATTGGGTGTATTTTTTTGTTTACCTGAAAGGTGAGTAATCACTGAGTATTTCCTTTTTTTCTGTCGTGCTGCCTGAATTTATAACCATAATACTTTTATATTACGGATTTCACTAGGAACATCGCGAATGACTTATTTTCCTGCTTCCATATTTTTTATGACCCATCACACAACAAAAATGTACAGTGCTCTTCAGAAAAGCTCCCATACGAATTTTTTGAACTGGTCAATTTTGCAAGCTAAAATACAGAGTGCTGAAATTGACGCACGAAAACCATATTTTAATATGAAAATTATGAGTATTTTTTAACTCTATAAGATAATATAAGATATTTATCCTTGAAGTTGCGACTGGCAGGTTGTTGGTTGTCAAAGTCGAGTGGTTTTGTATAAAGAATCGCTTGGTGATTGACGAGTTTCACCACCACAGTACCGCCTTGATTTTTATTTTAGATTGCACAGGATACATTCAAAAACATGTAAAAAAAGTTTTACAGAAAAGCCAATCTTCGCAATGATAATAGTGAAAACCAATAAAAAATGAGTAACAAGAATTACAATTTCTCCATTCCAACCCTGTAATGTTTTGTGTATGTGCCAATACGAGTACAAGCTCCAAAGTGCTGTGAATCTCGCGTTGGAAGACTCAATCGGCTTCCAAAAGCGTATACATTTTTGCGAAAAATCTCCACAATGGATGTGGTACAAAATGATCAAAAAACGGCTAACAAGAGTTATATTTCGTACTACACCCAACCTTGTGACTTCCGTTTGTTAACTCTATGCAAAAAGCTTATCCCACAAGAGTCGTAGGATAATTTATCATGAATAACTTCTTTTTCCATTTTTCAGAATCCAATGAATAGTAACGGAGATAAACGAAAAAGACTGAAACGATGTATAGTTGTAGTCACCGTTCTTGGCGGATCAAAGTAAGACTATCAGTATCCCTTTATAGTCCAGTTAAATAGCCGAAACTGCCGCAAAAGTGATAACAGAGCAACAAAGCTATGTCCGCTGGCGTAATGGTGTATTGAAGGTTTGGGAATATTGTCGAAAGAGTTTGGTTTTCCGGAAACCATCCGTTCTTTGTGAAACAGCGAAAAATCCAAAAAACCTCTTTTTCGCTGAAACGGCTGAAGATATCTGGGATCTTGTTACACGTATATTTTACTAATTTTTGGGCCATCATCTGCAAATATTTTGCTGAATTGCTTAGTTTTCGCGCTACAGCTTGCTAGTAGCTTGGTGGAGGGGGGCTTGCGGGTGCAAGGGGCGCATACACATATTTCACCATTACGCCAGCGGAAATAAGTATGTGGCTATGTTATCACTTTTGCGGCAGTTTCGGCTATTCAACTGGACTATTTATACAGGGTGTTCCATAATTATTGCGACAAAATGATAGGGGTTGTAGAGGGCATAAAAATATGCAATTTTGCCTTATAAACCCCTGTTCGTAAATATGCCGTTTGAGCACTACCGCTAATTTTACCTTAAGAGAAACAAAAAATTCATCAGCTGCAAAATGTTCGTCTAGCACATTTCATGGCCTCGCCGATTTGTAAAAAAAAAGCCTGCTGTGTTTACATTTTTGTTATCGTAAATTCTCCACACCGATTCATTTAATTTATCTGAGTGGTGCGTCAAACTAGAGGCCAATCCGCGTACAAGCGTGCGTGCTATTGCACATGAAATGGGAGCGTCTCAAACTACTGCTTGGCGGGTTCTCCATGACCAGCAACTACACCCATACCACCTTTTAAAAGTCCAAGCCATGGGTGCAGAAAACTATCTGCCGCGTCGACGTTTTTGTCGTTGGTGGCTGCAGCAGGAGTTGAGGCAACCAAACGTTGGTCGCTACGTTTTGTTCACTGACGAGTCCTGTTTCACAAAGGAAGGTTATTTTAATAGCCGTAACAGTCACATTTGGGATGAAGAAAACCCTCATGCCATAGCCATCCATAGAGACCAACATAGTTTTCAATTAACATCTGGTGCGGCATTGTGGACGAGCATATCATCGGGCCATATTTGCTTCCACCACGTTTGGATGGGCATGCTTATGGTCGATTCTTACAGCATGTGCTACCGGAACTATTAGAAAATGTGCCACTGAACATAAGAGCCAACACGTGGTTTCAACACGATGGCGCTCCAGCCCACTTTTCTTTACAAGTGCGGCAGTATTTGGACGACAAATAGGTGGATCGGCCGAGGTGGCCCTGTGCCTTGGCCTGCGCGGTCACCCGACCTGACCCCACTGGATTATTTTCTCTGGGGCCATCTGAAAGCTTTAGTGTACGAAACTACTGTTCCCAACCAACAAGAGCTACTGGGAAGAGTGATGGCCGCGTCCGCACATGTTCAGGACAAACCGGGGGTATGCCACAGAGTTCCCCGATCATTGAACAATCGTGCACAGCTGTGTATTGAGCAAGGTGGAGGACACTTTGAGCAATTACTGTAGGTAAGCTGTTTCAAGAAACTGATCTTTTTTTTTGCTGCATCCCAAACGGCATATTTCCGAACAGGGGTTTATAAGGCAAAATTGTTCATTTTGATGCCCTCTACAACCCCTATCATTTTGTCGCAATAATTATGGAACACCCTGTATATCTCCATCTCCCTTATACACACATATGCAACCTACCCATGTGTGTGAACGTTCGTTCGGTATGCTCAAAGACATACGTTTTTTAGTTGTGTGTCTCCGTCTTGAAAACTTTGTCGTTACGTATGAGTGCCCTTCAATCATATTTGTCTGAGTGACAACTTACTTGACGTCGGCGTGCAATTCGAGTTGTCCTGTTATTAATGGATGTGCTCCAGGTGATAAATAAAGGATCTCTAGTGGAGGATCCAGTGGCGTATAATAGGCCTAATTGGTTCTAAAGTCATTCTAATTTTATCCAACGGAGCTTATTTGGTGTTTCTGTTTTTATAGGCGTTGCTTTTTACAGTATATAAACAATCATGTTTCTCATACTCGTTTAGAAGTATGCAACACTGCTCTTTTGACCATGACATCTTTTAAGTTTTTCAATCTACACGCAGAACAGCATAAGCAGGGGAGTTTCGCGAAACTGATGAAAACAACTGATCACAACTGATGAAAGTGCTGCGGTTAGGCTTTTGTCAACCAATTATCATCTCATCTAATCACAAAACATGAAGAGAATATCAAGGAGTTAATACAAAACATCTAATTCCTTGTCACGCTTCTATCAGCCATTGTACTGCTCCAAAGTAGTAGTCTGCTCACTTTTAGCATATTATTTAGAACAGGTTCTAAAAAATTTAGCCCTCAATTTGTTCATTCAAAATTATGTACTAAATGCTGTCTGGTACATCCTTAATTTTGTACGCAATTTAGCCTAAAAAATTTAGCACAAAATTTCGTATCTTGACAGACGGCCCTTAAAAGTAAATTATTAGTAGTAGTTAGTAAATAGTCCTCTTCCAAACTTAATCAAAAACCCAACTGCAGTACATTTTCACGACGATTTGACTGGGGTATTACAAGTACTGCAACAGGTTTCTAAACAATATCTTGATAAGCTTTTTTCGACCGACATCGGACGGCTAACCATGGACAGCTGTTTCGTGCTATTTAGCAACTCCTTAGCATAGACATCCATGCTTTATTGGCCGTTAAATGAAACTACTGATGTAGAATTGAATCATTTACTGACATCTTGGTGGCCTTTTCAAAGTACAAAGGACAATAGCAATAGATTTATGTCTCCATTTGTTATTGCCGCTACTATAGATGTATTCCCATTACAAAGGGCTCGATGAACAATGTAGATGCAGCAGTAGCTCTCGAAGACTACAAAACGGATGAAAATGACATGTTGGCTTCCCGTCTCCTGTAATCATGAAAACCCGCAGACCGTGCTGTTCCGTGCTCATTAGCAACTCATCAGTGCGGTATTGGCCTTAGGTCTAGTCTTGGAGGCAGACGAAGCGGAAAGTGGGTATGGCCTTTAGAAAACGTCGAGCGGTATGAGCTAGAGAGCGTAAGGGTCTCTCCATCGTGTTTCACCTACTTGCGCGCGATCGCAGAACGATCAACCCGTGTGTTCCGACAACGATTCCGGGTGAGTATTTTTGGCGAGGGTGTCGTATCTGGTATATTTGTTACTGGCAATGACGATAATTAGGTCTTGAAGTTAATAGCCGGGCATTGAGGTGAGTGCCCATTGCGGACGCAATATTGTTGATATTACCATCTCAACGTCTAGGCCTGACCATTGATTTTAATGGTCAAAAATGGCTGTGCAATGTTGAAGAACTCAATATTAACCGGACAAAACAAATAGTATTAAATCATGGAACCTGGAACTGCCGTCAAATTCTTTGCTTTGGTAATACAGTTGTTCTACTCCTTAACGTTCAATAACGATGTTTTCTTTGCGTTTAGTTTCAAAACTGGCATTGGGCATCCCGTAAATCCACGGTACTTTTCATCGAAATTTATACTAGTTTAAATAGTAAAATTTGTCTTAAGATTATTTTAACTAGTCCCTTCCAGAGCCATACAAAAAATATACATATAGTTTATAACATAACCATACATTCCACTATATTATCAGTGGCCCCTCCTTGACGAACATTATGTTTTTATCATGGTTGCCCAACTTGACTGGGCATTAACGTCACTGCCCATCAAAAAACGTCATTGCTCGGTTTGTCGTGATTGCTCGTAATATGTACATCCAGATAACTTCGTACTCGGCTGTCGCTTTTTTCACGTTGCAATGATGGCTCGCGCATCCTCAGCGGCTGTAGCTTCATTTAGCGACCAGTAATACATATATGTATGGAAACTCCAAACATTCGGAGAAACTGAGATCCAAGGCGAGTACAATCTTAATAACTCCTACATTTGAAAAAAGGCTACCCAACGCTGTATCAACCAATGCTAATAACCGTATTCTTTCAAAATATTTGTCGTATTTTGAATGAAAGTATGCAATTTTTAGATGGATTAACTAAAATACAAAAGATTCTAGAAAGTACGTGCCTAGCCCCTCCGGCAAGCATTGTGTTAGCTTTGCAACGACTACATATAATTATGTATACAGGACTAATATTCCCTTTCTTTTGGATCTATCCAATAAGACCAATATGTAAACAATGGGTGAGATGAGGCACACTTTTTTAATTGCTATTCTATTATATAGACAGGCATTACCTTAAAAATAATATCACACACAAGGAGCTCACTACATAGTAGGCGATGATCCGATTCAATCTGGAATTGTTTCTGATGATTTCTGTAACAAAGAATTTCCCATAATCATTATAATAAAAAATAAACAACTGACTTCAGAGTTTTTATTTGTTGTCCTAATTTTGTATGAAAATATAAAGTACTTGTATAGCCCAATGTAGTAACGCGGATTATTTATACGTAGGGAGTTGCACGATTTAGAATTTCACAATGTTACCTCCGAAAAACAGAAACTATCATAAAAGGGTACAATTGACGCTCCAAAAAAGAAATTGAAATTGAAACAATGTTACAGAGACACTGGGAAGATCCGCGATTTTTAGAGAAAAACATTTTTACTGAAGTCGATACTCAAAAAAGATGGTTTCATGAATCTACACAACTTAGACGAGTGGCATTTATAAAATCCACATTGAGACGATCTAGAGCACAGTATTATTTTAGAGTAAACATGTGGACCGGGATTCTAAATGCGAGATTCATTGTATCCCTTTAGTTGTTTTTACAAAATCATTTAACAAAATTATTGAATCCAGTACCACTGAGCATTTATACAGACATGATGTACCGGTGCACTATGCCCGTTTAGCCAGAGAACATCTTGATGCGGAACACCTGAGCAGACGGATAGAGCGGTCTGATATAATTTTGTGTCCAGCTCGTCCACCTGACTTAAATCGACTCGATTTTCTTACGAATGGCGGTGAACGAAAAAGTTTACCCAAAGCCAATTGAAAATTTAGCCGAGCTACGGACAGAATAACGGAAGCAGCTGAATTTGTGAGTAACGGAAGATGTCAAGCTTGAATTGCTGCTGAAGAAAGGCGGTTTGAACATTATTGTGAATGCATTCACGAATTAATAAAAGTGGCGTTACTGTGTCGTGCTGTCACTATGTAGAATGACACTGTTTATCTAAGACAAAATTGAGATTTGTAGTAAAGGGAACTAAAAGCTTACACAGGAATTAGTTTTATGCGATATTTTAAAAGTAAGCGACTTAGATTTTCTTATATTTTTCTGATAACTATTATGACTTGGCCTATCCCCCGTTTTCGGCTTGACGTCGACTTCTGGAACACTCGAATATGTATTCATTGGCTCTTACCTATAACTTGATCCGTGTGACTTTGAGAAGACCCCATGATCGGTGCCAATTGTAACTGATTGTCGTCTTTTATGATTGCTTCTACATGTCGCTGCCATAGTGAAAATATGAACGCTTCACATTTTATCCTCATGATGCCAGATATGAAGAAAGTTCTGATTGCTTCTATTTCCAGTTTTGATTTCGATGATTTTAAACCAATTGCTGGGTCAGATTCAATTTGGAGAGGCCATAGTCGAATATTGAAATCTCCTGATGATATCTGAAATAAACGTTCACATTATGCAAAATGAGTGATGGTCAATCTCTCGGATGGAGAAAGTACACAAAAAATAATATGACAAGTATGGTAATACAGTCCCATAAAAGACGTAACTAGAAATAGGTTTTCCTTAAGAATCTTTAGAAAATAACTGTACAATTGAAGATTTTTACAGAGTGATAGCCAGTTGAGGACTCACATGACGGTACCCATGGAAAACAATTAAGCTGTACAGATCGCGAGTCTCGGATTAGCCTTAACTGAATACTACTAACCTAATGTAACAACGCTGATATATTCCGCCTATTCTGAGGGACCACTTAAGAATCCACCGTGCTATCAGCAGTTGCGTGAATTGGGCCTATTCGCTCACACTAGGTAGCATCAGTCACGCACTACCTACTGAGTTTTCCAAGTACTCGTAGACCATATGCCCTCTGTTTTTTTCTGTTGTCTCTCTCCAAGGCAAGACCTCTACTGACTGATAACAAGCATTTAAAATGACCATGTATGGTTATTTATTTATACATAATTTCCCGACAGACTAATCCAGGAAAATATAATGGTAAGTAACTTAATTAACAGTACACAAATAAATATATCACCAAATAAAATAAACACGAACATTAACTAGAGTAGTAGTCGCTGAATATTGACAAAACTTTACAAATACAGCTAAAATTGCTATCAGAACTGTCAGCTACATAATTATAATTATTACATACAGAATATAACGGTTAATTCAATGATATGTTGTCACGGGAAGTATTCCAGTAAAAAGTATAAGGATTCTTCTCAAGTTTAAACAGCGTATGCAAAAAAAACCTCTGGAGTTCGGGTGCATCCACTCTATTGAGCAGAAGCTTTTGCAAGAATGTCTGAAGAGCAATGGAAATTCTTAATTGTAAAGACTCCAGATTGTATCTGAAAACCGACTGGCTGCTGTTTCTCGATTGGGTATTTTCTGAAATATTTATTGGATATGTATAGAAATTATAGAAAACACTATTATCACACCGTAGTGTGATAGTCCCTAGAGCCTCCTGAAGAAAAATTCTTCTCACAATGTTTAATTTTCATGCAGATTTGTGGTTCATTGGCACACCAGAAGAAGCATTATAATTTCCTGAACAATGACGATCATAAAAAATTATATTGCGAAAAACTGGTTCTGAATTCATACAGTATTGGATTCCTTCAAATGTCTGTCTACAACAATGATCTTGATCAAGTGATGTGGAACTTTTTCTTGAGCTTTTCGGGGCGCTATTACGAATCGATTATCACAACTACTATATTCTAAAAATGGCAGAACCAATATTTTGGATTCAATATCATAATTTTAATAAAACTGTACTGGAGCACGACTATTTTTCTAAGAGCTCATTTTATAAATGTCAAAAAAACGTCTTTCCAGAAGTAATAGGGTTAATTCGTTCTTGAAAATTTACATGAGGTAATTGTTTTCCATGGTTATCTTCAAGAGATGATTAAACTGGTTATTATGCTGGACCTTGGTCGAATTTCACAGTGTCGGTCAAAATAGAACTGCTTTTTAGTATTGTCCTTTAGGGACCTGTATTTCCGTAGGTGAGCCCCACAGGAAACTCAATTATAGGAACACGTAGCATTATTTTTTTGGGTTTTATACTTGTATGTAACCTATAGATTGACTACCATACTCATAAAAAAAACAATAACATATCATTAATCTTGAAATAGTTCAATGAATCAACCACTGAATTTTTACCCTGTTTTAAAATACACTGTATTCTCTGCCTGACGGATCGAGAAGTAAAATACCAGATCTATACATTGCTTTTCAAAAAGGGCCTTTTCCAATTATGTTTTTGAACAGATCGAGATAGCAAGCTGAAAGGGAAGAATAAAATGATTTATGAATGCTTTAACCTAAAAATGACAGTGGATTTTTTTTAGTTATTTACGGCTTCCCATTACATACAAGAAAACATTACGTTTATGTGACAGATTACAACAACTTTATATAAATCATTAAACTAAAGTTTCATGTGATACCCAATCTCCTTATGTATGAAACCTAACAAACTAAAGTTCAATAGACACATTTTTCATATGTTTTTTGATGTGTCTAATACTTCTGCTGCAAACATCTATGTCGTAACTTACAGCGGCATTGCCAGATCTAAGAATTCTTGTAACTGGTTCATTCATACCATAATTGGTCGTAAACAGTTTTGTATTGCGAGTTCGTCTTTCATTGACATTAAGATTTATTTGTGCAAGCACCTCTGCGCAATCTATGACACCATTACCATTAATTATTTTGAAGAGAAAACCTAAATCAAAAATTTCCCTGTCGCACTTCAAGGAGTCGATGTTCAATGTACTCATCAGTTATGAAGCATTTTGACTCCGACCCTTTTTAATAGCTGCTTGTTTTAAAAATTTTCGCTGCACTGCTTCAATGAAGTTAATGTCACCAACTAAATTTGGCGACTATAATACAGTTGTGCTGTACTTCAAAAGAGCAGTATAAAATGCGAAAACTTCTACAGAGAGATATTTGGTAGACCTAAAAATGTATCCCAATATTTTATATAATTTAGAAGTAATTTCTCTAATGTGTGTTTTAAAAGTTAATTTTGTATCAAAACTTATAACTAAATCCCTAACCGTATCAGTTCTCATGAGGTCACGGTTTTCAACTTTATATTCATATGTGAGAGAATTTGAACTACGGCTGAAGCTTATCTGGTAGCATTTATTCAAACCACCAAGTAAGATTTCTGACATCTCTTTGTAAGATTACCGCATCGTGGATATTTCTCAGTGGGTTGAATAATTTGAGATCATCTGCAAAAATTAAATAACTCCTAGTTGGTCTAGCTTCCGCAACATCGTTAACGAATAAATTAAATAAAACTGGACCAATGTGGCAGCCTTGGGGTACCCCTGAAAAGACATTTATGGAAGTAGATAATGAACCAGCATATCTGAAACACTGTGTTCGTTCTGACAGGTAGCTTCCAAACCAGGATAGTTGACTGCTTGATACTCCCAAAATTTCCAATTAATTCAAAAGCAGATCGTGATTTACTCCATCAAAAGCTTTCGTATAATTCGCGTAGATAGAGTCTACTTAATGCTTGTTTTCAAAACCAGTTATTATGGAGTTCTCATAAATGATTAAATCTGTAGCAGCTGATCTACCTGCGGTAGATAGTTGGTCATTACTTGAATGTCGAGTGTCCCATGACAGTTTATTGGATTAGATACATACTGCCCGATAGCTTTGGACATCATTCTTGTAAAATAACACTCTTTCCAGTACTCAGGAAAGACACCAAAATCTAAAGATAGGTTGAAGATTCCTTTTATATATATATATCTATATATATAGTACTGTTGGCGCCATCTGTTGGGCGAGTCTCCTACTCGCCAGAGCTTCATGACCGATCTCTGCTATTACGCGAACCACGAACGCACAAGCCGCTTGGCGGCATCTGTGAGGACCGTGGCAGTGGCTCGCCTTCTAGATCGACGCGAAGCAAGCTCGACTATTTGGGAAGGCCGCTATGTGGCTCCCGATTCTCCTAGACTCAACGATGCCGACTATAAAACTGATGAGGAGCATTACTTTCATCCCTTGCATTATGTTATATGTCTGCTGGACCTAGACAGAGAACAGAAAAGCCAACGCCGAATCTAGGAACAAATAACCTAGCAGTTCGCAATGCCAAAGACCAGCACGATAAAAAAATTAGGCACAGGATAATGTCGCAGCATAATGGCAGAAGGTGTTTCTGGATGCTGGCCAAGCAGATTGTAAGGAACTTTTCAAAGAGTAGCCTTTCACCGCTTACGTGTCAAGATGGAACGATTGTGATTAACTTACAAACTAAAGTGGAAGTGATTGCCAAGATCTTTGCTATCAGCTCCCTTTAATGCAAATTGCCGTTGATTCCAATGGTTCTTCACACTATGCAAGATGTAACCTCCAAGCATAAGATAGTCAGATGGGAATTATGATTCCTGATATTGTGCTGAAGAAATATGTAGTGGAGGAGCCTTGCTAGAATTCTTTCGCGTCTCTTTCAGTTACATTACGGTTTCGGACTTTCTCAGGGAATTCGAAGTTTATTATGTCCAGCCTGTCGCAAAAAGTGTCTAAAACCGACTCTTAGAATCACAGATCTATATCTCTCTTTCCTATAATCAGTAAGGCGATGGAGAAGTGCAAATCGAGAACTTCTGGCATATCCCGAACATCAGCGAGCCATGTCTTTGATCTTGATATGGCGAAGTCTTTCGATCAGCTGCTTTGCAGTTTGGTGGCAAGGTATTAATTGCAATTGACACATTCTGCTCTCCCAAAAGTTAAGCTAAGATAAGACCTCGCCTCGAGTACTGATCATATATTTGGAGTGCTACCGCCCTGACAACATTGCCCATGCTCGTTATTCAGAGGAGGACTGCCTGCCTGTTCGGGGACACTTCTCTAACTGGCAGCTTCGAGACACCCTCGCGCCGACGGGCTGTCGGCGATCTGAAATTCTTCTACCGCTCCGTCAACGTGCTTTGCTCCTCTATGTTCTTCTTTATGAAGATGTCGCTCCTGCCTGCCAAACAGACCCGCCATATTTTGGCCTCCTATCCTAACGATGTCGAACTCCGTACATCGAAATTTGGTCGGGACGACCGCTCTTTTCCTAGAGTGTCGTCTAGATTGCGGAACAATCTGCATGAGAAGCTTTTTCTCAGTTCTGCTAACCCAGCTGATCAAAAATCGGATTTACAAGGTATTAGTAACCTCATTATAGCAATCGTGGTGCCCCGGTATTTAGGCTGTCAATTTTCTTTTCCTAGAAGGATCTGTCGGAATAAAGTAATAAAATATTGAACTTTTTTGAATGGTACGTTACAAACCCATCCAAAATAAGAGGACTGATATAAGATGTGTGTTTTGAACAATACTTGTTGGGTTATAAGTTGTTCAACGTATAAACACGCTCAAATTTGACAGACCGTTATTTTGAAACGTAGTAATTGTGTGCTCTGGGATTACAAATAAGGAGTTTCAAAATGAGTTATCACGTGGCCCTTCTCCATTCAAAAAACATTCTTAGGTACCCAGTTGTCCTCATTTCAATTGTCGCATTTACATATGTCTCGTATCCGGAATCAGTTCTGTTCAAAAAATAAGTGGAAGAGCACTTACTCCTGTTTTTTACTGTTTGAATTTCTGGTCATGCACTACACTAAATTTTGTACTCTTGGCATCGCTTTGATTGTGGGCTATTCTGTTTACCTTGAACGAAAGTTCAGTTATATCCAACTTTACTCATATATCGAGGCGTATTTGCGAGAAGCTACTCAAACAGTAATACGCGTATTACGTTGCTTGCATTTTCATCTCGTTTAAATATCAATTTTCCCATTCAATTTCCACTGAACGTGAAACCAGGGAGCAACTTCAGTTTCTGTCCGCGG